TTAGTGTCATCACTTGTATTGTCATCTTTGATTATCTTATTTAATATATGAGATAATGTATTCTTAGTGTCTGTTGTGTATGTTCCTAGTTCATTCAAAGTGGTAGTGAGTAAGGTTTGAGGTTTTATTTTATTGGATACAAACTTATATGGCCATTGCCACGCCTTTGATGCGGTAGCAAATGTCTTCCAGGACTTTAATTTGGAACTTTTAATTAGCTTTTGATATGCTTGCCTACTTTTGAGATAGATCACTCTCCTTGATTCCCTTAGTCCATCGTCTTTTGTCCGCTGGTAATTTCTTCTTAGATGATTTGTCTCTTTACGCAAGCCAGTTAGTTCAGGATTCCACCAAGGTACTGATCTTTTTCTAGTTCGACCTTTGAAATGGCCGGATCTTTTGAATGCTATATTGCAAGATTTTATGATAGATTTTATCATTTTATTTATGATAATATCAGTAGGCATAAGAGAAAACTCATTAAGAATCAGCTTTTCGGTATCATAAACTGTCAATTTCTTCTTATCAGTACAATGTTGAGATAAAAACTGTTTTTCTAACTGATGTATTAAGTTAGCCAAGAATTTATTCCAGTCACCATTCTCTGTCAAATATATATAGTTTTTTGCTAGCACTCCAGTTTTATCATTGCCCTGTAAATGTAACTCATAAGTCAAAATGTTGTGGTCTGAAAAATTTGTTTCTCTAGAAATTGTCCAATTTTTTACAATATTATGTCTAATCAGTTTTGTATTAGATAATGTTAAATCAATATTACTACTGCCTCGCGGCCCTTGGAAAGTCATTAGTTCGGAATTTATATTCATTAAGAACAAATCTTTCTCAATAATAAAAGTTTCCATATTTTTACCCCTTTCGTTAGTTTGTTTGTCGAACCAATATTTAGATCTTGCATTGGAGTCCAATCCAATAATGATATTAGAATCTTTGAAATAATCCAAAACGCGTTCTATTTTTTGTAAATCCAAATTTATGTTTCGGGTGATATCAAAATAAGCACATATTATTATACATTTTAATTCACTGTATGATATTTCTATGCAAACAAAATCACAATCAGAATGTTGCAATATCATGCAGGCATCAATGTTTTTATTGGTCACAACGACTCCAGCCCTGGGATTGCTTCCTATTGTTTGAAAAACCCTTGACTGATTATAACCTACAATTTTATTTAATCTTGTATAAGGTTCTTGGATTAATAAAACGTCTATTTGTTTCATTTTTATATACTGTTGTAGCATGTTCAATGTGCATTTTGAATGATGTGTGTTGAGTTGTAACATGTTTAATTGTCTATGTACCATCCTTAAAAATTAATTGTTTACAGTCCCCAATAATATTTTGAAATATGTATATATTATGGTTATTAATTACTCACTGTAGAGGGATGTTGTAGTTGGTATTAGATGCCAATTTCTGTATTTCTGTCAAGTACGACGGGCAGTTTCGGTCAAATACAGAATGTTCTGTGGGGCGCTTCTTTTGGCTTTTAGTGAACTTGTTGTAGTTTTGACAAATGATACATTTCATTTCTTGAGAAGTGCAGTCACTAACCGCGTGTTGACCTCCGCAGTTCGAGCATGCTATCGTCCCTCTGCAATCCTTGCTTCTATGGTGAAATTTAAGGCACTTGGTGCACCTTCTTATTTGGAAATAATCCTGAATTCTCACCTTTTGATGTCCGAGGCTGATTTTATTATATAATAGCAATTCTCGAGTCCCTGCGTCAACCTCCAAAACAGCATGCCGACTACTATTCTTTCTTGTAGTGAGGATAATCACAGGTCTTATTTTATCCTTTTGTAAATGAATATCGTCATTTTGAGCAGTTATGTGTTCTGTTATGTGTAGTCGGTTATATTTTGTAAATTTATTTCTTCCTCAATGTTTCTCACAACAACACGAGGGTTCATTTTATTTATTTTATGATATGATATTTTTCTTGAGCCTTTTATAGTTTGAGCAATTTCGTTGAGATCTTCCTCCCTGTCGGTCTGTATTATTAATGATCCGTTTTTTGTTTCTACGACCTTTTGAAAACTTATGTGTAAATCTTTTGGATTTACTAAAGACTTAAATTCGTTACAAAGTTCATTCGGTTCTAATGATATTTTAGGTTTAATAATTGCCTTATGGGCTGTTCGATTTTGTGCTTTCATTACAACCCTTTGGGCAACTGCTGAGTAACTAATTTTGTTATTTAAAGAGAGGTTGTCTTTTTTAATAACCTCCCCGATTTCCAAACTAAATGATTGGTCACAAAGATTACCTACATATTTTTCCATCACTTCGATAGCTTTTCCTACCTTCGGTCGCAGGTCTTTTCTCAAGAGATTGTAATCCAAAACCTCCTTTAAAGTCTTGATAGCGTAATTTAAATCCAATACTTCACCGGCCATTTTGCTGGAGACCTGCTTGTGATGAGACTCAATTTTATATACATATATAAAACCACGGTTAAAGAGTAAAGACAAACCATTGTTATAACAGACAATGCGTGATATATGAAAATGCATTTGAGTAAAAACTTACTACCAGAAACTTACATTCGGCGAAAGTTCCTGCAAGAGAACATACGATACGAGACTTTCGACCAGACTGCTTGACAAACGATCCGAACTTTCACTATCGAACAAACTAACACTTTACAAACGACTTTCAGAACCTATTCCAATAGTTTCCAAGTTGGGGCTATCTTAGGAACTAAACATTCAGAAAATTCAGTGTTTCAAAGAAGAGATTTCAAGGCTGATATTAACTGACTCTTGTTACGAAACAAATCACTTAGATTAATATGACTTGAAAGTAGCATGGAGTGATTGGACGGCTGACTGTGGTGGTGAAGACAACGTTTTGTCATGAACTGGTCAGAATAATATTTAATTGCCCATTTTACTGGAATAATCCAGTAAAATGGACAAAACTTTTATAATTACAACGACTCTGAAAAGGTTCATATCAAATACTAAAGTGAGGTTATAATTGGAAAATACAAAACCATACAGCCTTATGTCTCCAAAATGCAGGCAAAGAAAAAAATTCGTCAACGTTTTGCCAATTCAAGCATCATCAAGACTGAAAAGAAAAACAAATAGAATAGGGTGATTACATCCAATCGCATACTGGAAGGATGACAAGTCAACAAAGCAAGGGTGATTACAATCAAACAGCTGATCAGGGAATTATTATATCTTTTCACTTTTTCAATACTTATTATTTTATTTAATCTTTTATTTTTGTAATGTAACATTTTATAATTTTCAGTTAAATTTCGTAATTTTTATCAGTCGTTTGCGCCGTTTTTTGACTCTCAGAGGAGTCATTGATTTGGATGAATGAGGTATCAAACGAAAAGGAATTTCTTGGAGAAGTGACGAATCCCAAAATATAAAACCTTTCTACAGCTACAATAAAAATTATAGAAAAAATAAATAAAAGGTTTCAAAACTCGACGGATCGAGATAGGATGAATTATGCTCTAAAGATAAATCATAATTCTTTCAGAAATCTTCTCAGATGCAATGGTTATCATGGATTACTCACCATTTGTTAATTTTTAAAAAGTAAATATTGTTAAATGACGAACTAACACTATCATATGAGACTTTCAGTTGACAGAATGACCAATTCCAGCTTAAACATTTTACAGTACTGTCGTTTTAGTGATATTTCATTTTGTAAAATTTATAATATCTGCACAGACAATGAGTAAGTTGATTCCAGACTTGATGATTGCAGTGTTGACATATAGAACTGTGAATGAAGGTATAAAATTTCCCACTAGAAAAATTAATAATTAGAAATGTTGAAATTGGAGTTCGTCATTCTGTCAACTGAAATCCTCTTCAAATATAGTGAAACGGTAAATGGAGGGGAATAGCTCTTTGATTCCCTGAAATTTCCATCAAAATCCAATAATATAGAATATTTTTTAACAAATAAAAATCATAAGCAAGTATCTTATCAACAATCTCAGTTATGTTCTTAGTAAGTTAGAATACGACAAAACCAAGAATCTTCTACATCAAACAAATAGGACTGGAGCGAGTACAATAATGGATTCAGAAATGGCTGTGCCTCATTGCGTAACTATTAAATTGGAGGGATATTTTGCAGTGAGACAAGTCAATCTCTTATTAAATAAATTGGCAGTTTGACAGTCGTGGTAAAGTTTGTACCTTCGCCAATTGCGAGTGTTAAATTATTCTTAAATTATTATATCATATCCAGAATAAACATGTTTTGCTGATATTACTCAAATATAGAATGCATTAGGAAAAAAGATACCTATCTAAGAGTTCTCACTGGGTATACTAGTATTACTGACTAGCGATGATATATCCAACACAACTAGCGGATCCAGAATTTTATTTTAGAGAGGGCTTCAGCCCGAAAGCTTTTTTTTTTCCCCAAATATAACGATAATTACTTTGGAAGAAAAAGAAAAAAACTAACTACCTATACGAAATAAGTGATCCTTGAAGTCCTGTCAAATTTAATTACAGGAACAATAATACTTTAACAGATAATTTTTTTATATTTTTCCATAAAACATGGTTATATTTTACCATTTTGGGGAGAGGAACTATAGCCCGAAAGCTCCTCCTCCCGTAGATCACTGTGTCCACAACCTAAGGCTCATCGCGGTGCGTGTTAGTACACACACACGTTTATATATTGTTTTTTATTGAGAAAGAGGAAGGGCTAAAAAGAGACTGAACGCCAAAAGAAAGAGGATGGAACTACTAGAGATATAGAATACTAACCTTTGGGCTGAACGCTATGACTAATGCCTCGACTTACCTTGACCTCGCCGTGACATCCAGATTCGATCGCTTCTTTGTATTATTACTATACAACCTTTAGGACCCGCTCAATATTATATTTTCAACAATGGTGTCGCTTAAAAAAGAAGATAGCATTAATTTATGTAACACGATGAAATTTTACACAATTGGACGATGCCCTATTGGACGATGCACGGGGACGATGCCCTAACAGAACGTACTGCTCAAAAATGGTTTCCAAACTTCGTTGCGGAGATACGAGTCTCGAAGATGCACTCTGTATCGGTCCACTCACCGAGGATGATCCAAGTGATATCAAAAACATATGGGTGGTTGCATCACGACAAGGCTCCTTGTCATATCACGATTATTATCCTATCAATTGGCCAGTAAAAGTATTCCTGTGGCCCCTCAGTCTCGTTATTCACTCGACGTGAGTCCATGTGACTTTTTTTCTGTTTCCAAGATGGAAAAATCGTCTCATGAGACGATTTATAATAAAATTTTGAGAAGAAAGAAACATAAGAGAATATACAGACAGCCGTAACCGATCACCTGAAGACTATTGCAATGCCCGATTTCCAGCACTACTATGAGGAATGGAACAATCTTCTCCAGCGCTATGTGGCTTCCCAAGGTAGTTGTTACTTTGAAAGAGACAATTTGAATTTGTAATTTTATTTCTATAAAAAAACAGTCTCATTACTTGATTTACATACCTCGTATTCTAAGTCCTCAAAGTCTATATAATTTTTTTCATGTCTCATCAAACATTGCGAATCCATACCATCAAAACCGTTTTTGTAGAGAATTTCGTAACACTATTTTTTTTTCATAAGTAAAAAATCTTCCAATCAGAAAGAACACATAGAGAATGGTTACAACGCTTTAAAACAATGGTTTTGATCCCAGAGATGACGATTGTCAGGCGTCATACAAATTTTGAAGACGAAGATTTGGAGGTGTGACTTCTGTCTGAAAGATACATCCAGGTACAAGAAGAACTTGAAGAATCATTGAAGAGTTGATCGAAGCAACAGTTACTAAACGTTTGAAAGCTTTAGGAATGATTCAAAAGTAAGGGAATTCCGTACCGTATCAATTAAAGGAAAGGGATGTCGAACAACTTTTATTAACCTCGAAAAATAGCGTAAAAAAAAAAAGTTTTTTGCATAGTATCCTAACTGGTGGTTAAAAGTGGATATACTACAATAACCCAAAGACTGCCCAGGCACGTCTCAACATCGACAGCAAAGCCGAACATTAGTGGTTCCAAGCTAATGCTTTGTATTTGATGAGATCAACTTGGTGTCGTTTATTACGAGCTGCTCCAGCACAATGAAACCATCACAGGAGATGGATATAGACTACAATCGATGCATTTGAGTAAAACTTTGAAGCAAAAGCTTCCGCAATTCGAGAAGACACGATAAGGTGATTTTAATCCATGATAACGCTCGATCTTATGTTGCAAACTCGATTAAAACTTGAATTGGAAACGCTGAGATGGGAAGTCGGTGTGTCTGGTGATTATCACCAGACATTGCACCTTCCGACTACCACATGTTTCGATCACTGACCCACGGCCTAGCTAAACAGCGCATCCTTTCTTACGACTAAACTAAAAAAAAATGGGTCAATATTGTCTTAAAAGATATTTCTTTTTTTCATCGAGTTATCCATCCGTATGTTACCCAAAAGAAAGTAGTTGCTCGCGACGGAGAATACTTTGAATGACCTGAATCTGAAAATTTTTTTTATAAATAAATTTTCCATAAATATAATACTAGAAACTTTGCAGTTAGTTTTCCCATAAGAACAAAAAAATTTGCCTAAACGTATTAAAAAAAATTACAACATTCTGTCACAGCCATATGTAATGTTGAACAGTATGATTTGACAAAAATGTTTGAGTTTTTCTACATAGCCCTAAAATCCAGGCCTAATTGAGTTTCAGTAATTAAGCTTAATTCTGGAGCAGGCTTAATTTCACAGAGGATTTTCTTTGAAATTGGGACAGTCAGAGACAGGAGCTTAATTCGGTTATTTAAACACAGGCGCGTCTGTTTCAACATGGGGTGCATACATCTTTCTCACTCTTTTAACGAATATCAGTCCTTAACATTTTATCGAGTTGGTTTGCTAAACCGGTTGGTTATGTGTTTTTTTTTAAATTTAAATGAACGGTGTTTTTTTTTTGTTTTTCCTTTCTTATTTTTTTAAAACTTCTAAGCGGTACTGATATGGACAAGATCCGTTTTATCATATTATTAACATCAATCTAAAACTTTGCGTATGGCTTTATCATATTGTAACCTACAATTTTTTTTAACAGAGAAAATCCTCAGAAATGGAGCGTTCCTCATTAAATCAATCAGTTTAAATTTAATTTAATCTTTTCCGAGAATAGATAAAATTAAATACTTCAATGAATTTGTAGACAAAAATATTGGACCGCTATATAATCTAGTTATTATGATATGTTGAGGGTGGAAACCAGGCCTATATTTTTGTAGACCACCCACTTCTACGATTTATAGATAAAATAATCTTGCGACTCAAGTGGAAAGCTAATGATGGGTGTTGATATAATTTAACAATTATTATATATTTAATATGAAATGGAAAAATATTAATATGCATTTCTTTTATGTTTCAGGTAAGAATACGACTCCGGATAGATTTTTACTTTTTGTTTTTACAAAGGTAAGCCAAATATGAAAAACAATAATAGTAATGCAACTTTTTAAATGATTTAAAAAAAATAAATTAAATTAATAATATTAGCAGATTTAAAAATAGTATTTATTCGAAAAAATATTTGTAATATAATTGTATTGAACTGAGTATTTTATGTTCTAAAAATAATTTTTTTATGGGTGATTAACGGAATAATACTATTTCAGAATTTATTATATATAAGGAATAAAAAATAAAACAAATACTCAATTAAAAATCCGAAGAAAAACGTTTTACTAACAAGTACAATATGAGATGATGGATGCTCTAAATAAAGGTCTAACTAATTAACAGGACATACATAAACAAAAAAAAATTGTTTAAAATTATTACAGATGATAAAGACACTAATATCTTTACAGTTCTCAAGATATTAATTAACAAACAAATGTTTTTATAACTTATTAATAATACTTTAATAGAGCTTCAACTATTATATATATATAGGGGGAATGGGAGACGTGGCTGTATAGGAGGTAATACTCCTTTTGAAAATACAAAATAATCTTCTGAGGAACCCCAAAATAAGTTGGCCGAGTCGCCCCCTTTATATATGAGCCTCTGGGGTTTCACGAGACACAAAAGAACCGTCGAAGAGACAATGGGTCTTCCATTTCTTTGATAATTAGAGTTTGCCAATGGCTTCTGCGTGAGACGTCGTCATGTCAATGCCGCATTATAACACAAAACTTTTATAACACTGGGATTAGGAAAAAAAAGGATTTATATTAAAAACAGAAACACGCAGCAAAAGGGAATAGAAAATAACAGTATGCTAGAAAAAAAAATTTAAAATTAGTTTTTAAATGGAAAAATTTTAACTACAAAGTCATGAGTGTCCGACATACAGGCAAATAGTTAACTTGCCAACATTTCGCCCATTCAGGCATCACCAGGGCAGAAAAACCAAGACCACTTATATGCAGAAAAGAAAAAAACAAAATAAACATTGCTGTAGACATCTCACGAAGCCATCTAAATACATACTGAAGGAAAGATAAGGTTCTATTAACACAGGAAAGGAAGTTTATATTGAACAACTGATTAGCAGAAATACAAGTAGATGTCTAAATGACATAATATGTAGTATATTATACTCGATTAGAATAATTATTTAAAAAAAGGAAAAATAAATAATAAAGTATGAATGCCTGGAAAATTTTGGGAAATGCACTTTTCCAAAAATTATAATAACAAATAAATATATAAAAAAAATCTAAAAATATTAATTATTAAATAAGGTTAGTCGCCTGCTCAACATATGGGCGATAAATAATCTGGACGCAGACATATTCAGATTTTTAATGTAGCCGACGATCAACCTTGTGGGTCATCATTAGGACATGGACAATTCAAAGGTTGGGAGAGAAAAAATGAGAAACAATTTTTATCAATGAAAGCCGAATCTGAGTACAGTTTAATCTATTTTTTTTTTTAGCCTTGAAGAATGGTGTAAAAATTGGAGAATAAAAATAAATTCCAACAAATCCCATCAAATCACATTTACTTCCGTCGTAAACCTATGACCTCTTGTCCTACAGTGTCCTTCAATAATATTCCACTTATTCCTGTGAGCAAATCCGCTACTTAGTACTCCACCTTGACAAACGACTCACTTGGAATCCCCATACCAGACTGAAACGACTAGAAACCGCCCGACGTTTTCGACTATTGCAGCACATACTAGACAAACGATCTAAGCTTTCAATCACTTATAAACGACTCGTATATATGACAATAATAAGACCTATTTGGACTTACGGAATTGAGCTTTGGGGCTCCACTAAACCATCGAATTCCTCTTGTATCCAATCCTTACAATCCAAAATCCTTCGTAAAATCCTCAACGCTCCTTACTTTGTCACAAATAAAATCATCCTTAAAGACCTTAATGTTCCATATGTTTCCGATCTGGCCCAATCTAGATACCTATCCTTCCATAACAAACTGCAGAACCATCCGAATCCTCTCGTTTCAAACCTTGCTTCCTCCACGATCCCTGACACTAGCGGATCCAGGATTTATTTTTTGGGGGGGGCTTCAGCCCGAAAAATTTTTTTTTCATAAAAATAACGATAATTACTTTGGAAAAAAAGAAAGAAACTAACTATCTGTATGAAATGGTGTTTAAGTTATTCCTACAGCCCTTTTAAATGTAATTACACGAATAATAATACTTCAAGAGATACTTTTTAAATATTTTTTTCGATAAAACATGGTTATACCATTACCATTTTGGGGGAGCTTCAGCCCGAAAGTCCCCCCCCCCCCATAGATCCGCCCGTGATCCCTGATAACCCTCCGAGGCGTCTGAAAAGAAGATGGCCTCGGGATCTTCTAATATAGAACTTTAGTTTGAGTTCTACCAATGGGTAGTTTCTCTTCATGTAGTACATGCCATGTTACAAATTTCTCATTTACTTATTGTATTCTCTATGTAATACAGTTGTAAATTCCATTAAAATAATAAAAAAAAAATTTTTTTTTATAATATAAGTAAAACATAAAATAAATACTTCCATAAATAAAATAAATGAATACATAATATGTTTTATTTTGTATATATTTGGGCAGAAATCTGACTGAAAAAAAAAGGAACTTACAAAAAAATAAGGTGGAAACACTGCTGTTCAAGTCATAGATGCTAGATAACATGCTCTGATGATCCATAGACTAGGGTTGAAACGTCGTCAACAACAAAAATCTTTAGAAAAATATATAAATTATTTTGATTTAAACAAATTGGATATTAGGTTTCACAACAGCTTTCTTATTTTTCTCACACTCCAAGGATTTATTTACTATACAAATTACAATATATAAATACATAAAGGAATATATATACATAAATTTCTAATTGCCTTTTATTGCCCAAGGGCATTTTAAGGTAAAAGGGCACGCTGTATGCGTACTTTGCATCTGTGGCCAGAGGCCTTTTATTATACCACTGGGCGTGGCACAACAGCACGGTAAGAAATATAAAAAATATATATAAATATAAAAAAAATTATTGCTTTCTAATGATGACGAGAAAGAAAGCTTCACTTAGCACGATTTTCTTGTTTATAATTATTGTAATATTTGGTGTTTCCCCAAATCCTTAACTAGTTACCACCTTTTTTTTTCAACAGATATCCCATACAATGATTTTTGTGGTTTTAACGGAAAAGTTTACTTGGACATATCTCGAGATGGAAAATGTCATGAAAGCTATGGCGCAGGTAAGAAGTAATATTCTGAATAGTAAAAAGGAATCGGAGGAAGAAACGAATTTTGACATTGGCGAAACATCATATTCGAATTTCCGCTTCAGACCTAAGGCGGGGCTTTCTTACCTGGAAATTCTCCATATTACCTGTTTACGAGAAGGCGCAGGCAGCTAGGTCGGCTGTGGCCCGAGGCAAACTTCCAGAGTGCCACACCCTCACAAATTTCCGGACTAGATACAACCAATATTCCACATTCCACTAATTAAAACGTAATGTTTCTTTTAGACAACTTAATAGAAAATGTTTTTAAAAAAAATTAGTCTGCATTTGGCGCCTCTCGACTTTCCCTACTCAAAGCTTAGGGACCAGACCTGGACGATATTTAAAAAAGATAACTTTTAAATATAAAATAAAATATATTTTTTGTATTTTGCATTTCATGAAGTAAAATATAAAATATTGTTCATACAACAACATTTTACTCTTCATACAATGAGGTATTTGTATTTTATTTATAAGATACTAAAATTTAGTAGATTTCAATTGAAGGCAGATCGTTTGCTCCAGAATTCGCCTCTTCAAAGTCAAGCCTAAAAACGTTTTAGAATCCATTTTTCTTTTACCATAATATTAATTAGGCTGCAAAATATGCAGGACTACAGGGTCTTATCATAGCAATGGGAAGAAGAGTATATTTTGTTACATACGAGGTCGGGAAACAAACAACCTTTTTTTTCTTTAATATTTTTTTTTTTGCAAAGAAAAAGGAATGATTCAATTTATTTAATATTTTAGAGAATAATAAATATTACAGCAATTGACAAAAGTTCATTTTTTTTTTAAACATTCTATAAAAATTATATTCACTACTATAAAGTTATCAAAAATAACATTAATTGAATAAAATAATGTTATTCCCAATGAATAAAAAAAAAAGAATGATATTCACAGTCTTCTAATTTCATAAATCCTTTTTAAGTTTTAAAATTGTAAAAATTTTAAAAGTTTTGCAAACATTCTTAAAACTTTGTATTTTAAATTCTGTTTTTAAAAATAATAATTTAAATTAATAAACCCTCCGAGGCGTCTGAAAAGAAGATGGCCTCGTGATCTAATTATGTAAATATGTTATTAGAGTGCTACCAATGGGTAGTTTCTCAACAAGCGTTTTCATGTGATTGTATTATTACTGTGTGCACATTTACTAGTTGTATTTTTTTTTATAATACAGTTGTAATAGCATTATATTTATTGTAAATATGGTGTGAATGACCACTTTTATCACTGTTAATAATATCTCTGGATGTGATAAAATGTAATATAAAATAATAATAATAAAAAAAAAATGTATCACGTTTATTCAAAAACCTCTCCATTTCACCATGTTTTGGAACCGCAGTTCTTTTTCTAAAATATCTCTGTTTATGATCATAAGGCCAGAACCGTACAAGAAAAAAGGGTACAGATGTTATACATATTTTACAACCAAAAAAAAAAAGAAAGAAAAGAAAAAAAATGAGGCTGGATCAAACCTCTGAATCTTTTAGCACCGTTTTTCACAGCGGGTGCGCTTGTTAAGAAAGAGAATATAATTAAAAGAGAAAAAAAGAAATGAGGTTGGACCTCAATCTGTACTTTGAGAGACTGGGAAGGAAGAGTGAAAGCAAGAGAAGGAGGCAAATAAATAGAAGGGAGAGAATTCTTCTTAATAAGCTCTCTTTACACATTTTCGGCTCCTTCATTTATTTCAGAAAAGGTACGAGTGAACAAAAGGACTCTGCGACAGCTATGAAAAATTAAATCCTTAATAACTAAGGAATTAAAAAATACATTGGGGTTTACAAAAAGGATAAAATTCATAATAATAATGTTACAGAAACCAGTCCAATATATTGTTATATTTTTTTTACAAGATGGCCATTTTAACTCGCTAGGCTTATACGAAGCAGAATGGGCTGTCCTAGGTAATTTAACGAACACAAGTCAAATTATCGAAAGTGAATAGTTTTGTAGATAATAACGTAAAAAGTTTGATTTATAAGAAGGTGTAGTCAGGAATATAGATATATCGAGGGAACTGGACATCGTTTCGAAAGAGTACTACTATTTAGGTGACTAGGCACTGTTATCACTGAGAATAACAATATAAGAGAATAACTAAATGCAAAGATCACAGCAGGTAATCAGTGTTATTGTTATTCAAAATCGTGAGATACCAAGAGCTCTCAAAATAAGAGTATATAAGACAGTCCTGCAACCAGTTGTTATATATGGAAGAGAGTACTGGACACATATACCTAGTGCTGTCATAAATATTGTTACAAGGAAATACATACGTACTTCAAAAGAAAATTAATTTTTTCTAAAACATTATTAGAAAATAAAATCTACATCTATAGAGAGTAAAACAGAAAAGAAATTACTCGCCATGTTCTCCTTTTGGCTCGACACATGCACTTAATCTCCGTGGCCAGCCATCAACAGCAGAAAACGCAGCATTTCTTGAGAAAAGCGCTCAACTGCTCGCACCAGAGATTGAGGCTTTCCAAGTTTGAGTGTTCTCGGTGGCATTGCATCCTCTCCAGTTCGGACCAAAGCAGATAATCTAGTGGGTTGAGATCAGGGCTTCCTGAGGGCCAATCCGAGGCAGAGATGAACTCAGGAATGTTCTTTTGCAGCCACTGCTGAGTTGACCTGGCCTTATGAGATGGAAATCCAACGACTTCGAGAAAACAGAGTATCATTTAGAGGCTAGACAACAGGTTCCAAAATATCGTCCTGATAGTTTTCAGCGGCTGTTTCAACTCCTTTTTCACAAAAATGGAGCTTTATGGTACCATCAAAGCAAACTATCACTGAGGAAGGTGATGACCTCTTTCCACTCTTCCAATGACTTCCTGGACTTCTTTAGAGCTGTGTGCGTACACAAGATCATTTTGGCGATTAAATTTTTCTTAATTTGTGAAAATTTTCTCATCGCTAAACAAATTCTTTCAATGAAGACCATTGGTCTAACGGCAAAGGAGTACTTTGCGTCTATCCACTCTAATTTTTTTTTAGGGAAGTGGTTAGCTCTTGTCCTGCTCAACCACCCATCCTAAGGTCAATTTTATTATTTTGTGAGACATTGAGAGATTCCCATTCCATAATAATAAAAATAATTAAAAAACCGAGTTCTGCGCATGCGCTTGATTTGAATACCCACATTTCACGTCGTGTCCCACAGTTTTACTATTTTTTAGTAGAATAAGTGCTCAGTTTTACTTTTTTTAAAAAAAACTAGTTAAGCAGACATCAAAACAACAACAATGGACTAACACCACAGTGAGTAGTGTTGTTATTTACTGTGTACTATTACAGACAGTGAATTTAGTGATTTAGCGTCTATAGGCTTAATCTCTATAGCCATAACAGCTGACGGCTCCCCTCTCCAGTTGTGGCTCTGCCACGTAACTGGCTGTTTCTCAGCCGGTGGTTCATCCATTGTAATAACACGCAGACGTAGTTTTATTTATTTATTTATTTTTTTTTCCCTTTCTTTTTTTTTATATGCGATATTATCACCAAGTAATGTCAACTAAGAGGTCCCATTCAGTTGGCTCTACCCCACGTAATTCACCGCCTAAACAGAAAACACGTCGTAGTAAGCGATTAACACCCCCCGGAACTCCTCCAGCGAACACTCAAGAATCTGTGTCTCAACCACTGCCAAGTACGTCTTCACAAGAAATGGAATCTCCATTTTTTACACCTAATCCATACCAGGTGCTTGAAAATGACAGGGAAGAAATGGAAGATGCACCTATACCTCGAGAACCACGCCCACCTCCTATCTTTGTCAAAAATTTGAGAAATTTCCAGTTGTTGTGTACTCAACTTAATAAAATCTGCCCAGGTAGCTATACATGCCTAAACAGAATAAACGATACAAAAATAATACCGGCCACACCTGAAGCGTACCGAAAAATCGTAAAATATTTAACAGACACAAATGCGGACTTTCACACATACCAGTTGAAACAGGAAAGAGCACTACGAGTTGTAATAAGAAATTTACACTCCTCAACCCCAATAGAAGTGATTAAAGAAGAGTTAACGGCGTTAGGGTTCAAAATACGTCAGATAACCAATGTTTTAAAAGAAAATAAAGAACAACCAGGTGTAAAGAATAAAATCCCATTGCCCTTATTTTTCGTCGATCTAGAGCCATCGCCTGGGATCGAAAAAATATACGATGTGCATAGAATTTTCTACACCAGCGTAAAGGTCGAAAAACCGTACCCAAAAAGAGAGTTCATCCAGTGCCATAATTGCCAAGCATATGGCCACACCAAGTCTTATTGCCACCACTTACCACGCTGCGTGAAATGTGGTAAAACACACAAGTCTGGCGAGTGTAATAAACCAATTACAGAACCAGCAGTCTGTGCCCTATGCCTGGAAGGCCATCCAGCCAACTACAAAGGCTGCCAAATTTATAAAAATCTCAAAGCGAGATATATGAAACCCAGGGACCCTGATGATACACCTAAACCAAGAAGAGGACCCGCTAAAATTGTGAACTCTAAGGTTTCTTTTGCCAAGCTACTTGGGGGTAGAGACCCGACTAATGTATGTGAGGCCCTGCCGCAAGAACAAACTCAACCCCAATCTCAATATCCTATCCCACCTAATGTACCTAATCAACAACAACCTCACCAACCTCAACTCCAATATGTTCCTCCACCGCCTAATGCTACAGATCTAACCAGCTTATTGACATCCTTTCTTTCAGAATTTAAATCCCTTGTTACCCCACTGATATCACTTCTCACTAACCTAGTATCTCACCTTATCCCTCCTTTAAAAAATCCTTAAATGACTTCCATCAAACCCATATCCATTCTCCTTTGGAATGCGAATGGTGTTAGAAATCACATACACGAACTAACAGCCTTACTACAAGACAAGAACGTAGACGTAGCCCTAATAACGGAAACTCGACTGACTAAAAAACAGCTCCTAAAAATACCACAATACATAACTTACCGTACCGACCATCCTGACGGTAGAGCACATGCCGGTACTGCAGTCATTGTGCACCAATCCCTCTCCCATCACCTACTCCCACTGCCTACACACGATTTCCTACAATCCACCGCAGTCGTAATCAAAACCTTCTCCTTTCCTATTACCGTTGCATCAGCGTATTGCCCTCCAAACCAATCCATCTCCAATATCCAATTTAGTTCCTTCCTCATTTCCTTAGGACATCATTTCATC